CTATATATCAGGGGACATAGAGATAGGGCCCTCCCTCTGCTGATGAAAACCAGCCCAGCCCTCACCCTGCAGCTCTGGGAGAGGAGCCCCAGCCCTGGTATTCCCAGGTGTCCCCATGTGGTCATCAGGACTGAACACAGAGACACACCATGGAGTCTGGGCTGTGCTGGGTTTTCCTTGTTGCTCTGTTCCAAGGTAATTTCTAGAGAACTAGAGACATTGAGTGTGTGTGAGGATGTTAGTGAGAGAAACAGCAGGCATGTCTGGCAGTTTCTGACTAGGATGTGTCTGTGTTTGCAGGTGTCCAGTGTGAGGTGCAGCTGGTGGAGTCTGGGGGAGGCTTGGTCCAGCCTGGGGCATCCCTGAGACTCTCCTGTGCAGCCTCTGGATTCACCTTCAGTGACTACTGGATGAGCTGGATCCGCCAGGCTCCAGGGAAGGGGCTGGAGTGGGTTGGATAAATTAAAGGTGATGGTAGCACAAACTACACTGGCACCTTGAAGGGCCGATTCACCATCTCTAGAGACAAGAGCAAGAACACGCTGTATCTGCAAATGAACAGTCTGAGAGCCGATGACTCGGCCTTGTACTACTGTGGAAGAAACAGAGTGAGGGGACATCAGTGGGAGCCCAGACACAAACCTTCTGTGTGAACGCACAGTGCCACCAGGGGGGAGTGTGGGACCCTGGAAGCCTAAAAAAGAGTTGAGGTGCAGGTGCAGGTGGCCAATAATCATTGGTTTCCTGTCAGAGTCTGGGGCTTCCTCTCTAGAAATTTCATCCTGGGACCCACCTTTTGTGGATCTGTGCTTGTCACTGTAGTGTATGAATTAGAAATGTCTTGTAGTAAATGAACACATTCTCACCTGGACATTAGTTAGAACATCAGTCACTTGGGCAGAAATGACCCTGTGTTCACATGGATCAGAGTTCTGAGGAAGCGCAGGGGAATCTGCTGAGCGTCTTCCAGCCAGACTCAGTGCACAGACCTCAGCGGGACTCCCTGAGTGGGACAGGCTTTGGGATGTCTTAGGACATGTAAGGACCTCAGCCAAGGTCAGTGTCTCATAAAACCTAAGATTTCAAGTTGTTTTCCCTTCATTTAGAAGTATACATTCCTGATGCAGAACTCACTCAGTTGTATCTGTTTCTGCAAGTCCATTTTCTTTCTTTCTAGGTTCTACTTTCACTACTTCCACTTCTCCTTCTTCCACCAGAAAATGGAGGATGCGGTATCTGTGTCTAAATCCCACAGCTAAGGCCCTTTACCTGGAGCTAAGGTGTGGCCAGGCTCTGCCTCCTGTAGGAGCTGGGAAAGACTGATGGGACCATCTCACCCACCATTGCTGGGTTGCCCCTGCTGTCACCTGGGCATGGACTCACTTTACAAATGCAAGTGGCCATTAGTAGCTGAGAGAATAGGATTGATTGATCACAGTGGGATGTGTCCACTGAGACTCTCACAGAGTCATCTTCAACACCTGTGGTATCGGGGAGACCTGTAGATGGAAACCTCTGTGTGCTGAGTGCTCTGTGATGGTATCCATGTCTTTGTGAGTTTTATCTTTGTGGCCCCAGCATGATGAAACAGCACCCTGCAGTCAAGACTCTCCTGTATGAAGTGCCTGGTAAAGATGATCCTTTGTCCAAGAGCCTCCGTATACTCCCCCTCTTCTCCTCCTGACTGCCCTCTCCTATGATCTCCTCCTTCCTAATCCTTGTTTTTATTGCCATACCCATTGTTATCAAGAAGGAACCAGGTTCAACTGTTTAACAATGATTTGTGTCTAAACCACATGGGATTCACAAAGGATTTCTTCCAAAATTAACTGTCTCATCATGGCAGATTCTCATGGAAAACAAGGCACTCTATCCTAGGAAGAAATTTTCATTCTTGAGAAACTTTTATATCTTCCTGTAGACACAGATGAGTCCTCATTGCAACGAGGGAAGAAATTAAATGCAGGAGAAACTTCCCGGTACTCTGTGGGCCCTGCCTGTGAGATGGCTTTGGAATAAGATGGTTGAGGGTGATAACATGACAGTGTGTATCGTGGAATGTGAGGGAAGGGACAGGGCCACCAGGGAAGAGGGGAGTCCTTTGGAGTGTTTGTTTGTTTACAATATTTTTGTCTCAAATTTTCTAGGGAATTAAAACATGCTTATTTATGTAAAGCCCAGGAGAGTTTCCCTGCTCAGGTGCTGTTGATACCATGCTACAGGAAGTTGTGTGTGCCTTGCTCGTAGACAGTGAATTGTTTCCTCACATGTAGTGAGGGACAGGATGCTAGGGCAAAGAAGGCAGGTTGTCCTCCTGGGGAGACCAGACTTGGTGACTCTGTTGGCTGAGTCTCCAGGCCTGGCAGCCTGCACCAGGCTTGTTCCCAGATAAAGGCATCTGATGAGGACCTGATGTTGAGAGTCTGGAGCAGAGTGAGATTATGTAAATTTGCTAGGAGGCCATCTGTGTGGTCTTGAAAGGTACAAGAGCACAACCATAGATATATTCTCCAATTAGAAGTAGAAAAACATTGTTTCATCACAATCACTGAACGAGAAGATTTATATAGTCAAAGTGGATGAGGGAAATGTTATTAACTTGAAACAAAGTATTTTCCACATTTTTTCCTTCAATAGCAAGGAAGCTGTTCAAAATATGAGAAACAAAATGATAATGGATTCATACCTTGAGCCTGCCTTATACGTGCAAAAGGTGGGTTTTAGCTGAAATAGACCAATTAAATACAAATTATGAAAGCACAACATAATGGTATATACTAGAGACATATGAAACTACTTATATTATAATATTGGTGTGTCAAGCAATTTTATTTCTCATATAAGCTAAAATACAAAATTCAGTAACAACTTCTTAACATTATGTGAATTCTGGCTTCAGAAGCATAAATTAATGGCTGTGGTGTAAAGTGTAAAATTTTGGTATGCATGACCAATTCAGTTGTTATCTACCGAAAATAGACACTTTCAGTGTAAGGGTTTGTTAGTGTAAGCTTCATGGTAAAAAAACATAAATCTATACTAAATGAAAAATAGAGTTCGAAGATACCATACAGAATACTATCAACCACAAAGAATCAGCCAAGAAACTAGAGCCAACAACACCTATAAAATGACCAGCAACAAAAAATCGGAGTAGTCACTATATTGAAATTACTAGATATAAATGGATAAATTTCTAATGAAAAGAGTGACTGAAAAGTTAAAAAAATAAGAATAAAATATCCAACTATTTCTCTTGTACAAGAGACACACCTAACTTTTAGAACACACATAGACAAAATTGGAATGCTATAGAAAATAAATTCTTTTGAAATAGGAAACCATAAACAAAGACAAGTCGTTAGTTACACGTACATGAAACAATAGACTTCAACTCAAAAGTGGTAATTAGAGAACAAACGAAGAACCATTGCAAATTTATAGGTTGTACAGCAATACAGGAAGAGATAACACTTTTGTAAATAAATCCCCCCCCCATCATCAGGGACACGGAAATATAAAAATTTTGCCAAAATCAAAGGGATGAAAAGACTGTTTTCCTCCAAACATGAATGGATAAAGGAAAAGTCTATGGTAACAATGGAAATACTAGTCAGTGGGGAAAAGTGGAGGAAGGGTGAGAAATGCTTTCGTATATGACACACTGGGTGGGACTGAAACACTGTGCAAATTAATCGGACGTGAAGGAGCTAAAGCGATCCATCCAGGGTCAGAGTGGATTGAGACCCAATCAGGCAGAACGTGGACCTATTGCTGTTCCCACCATTAGCAGAATGACTTTTGACTGCTGAAGAAACTGTTTCTCAGGCAAACACCAAGAACCTATGGCTTTGCGAGAGCCAAGTTGCCTGGTTAACCAGCACGCGGTGCTAGGCGCTAAGAACAAGGGTCTGGTAGGATTCAAGTCTTGCAGTCCACCAGATTGTTATCCGAAAGCTGGTACAAAGGCATAGAAGAGATCTCTTATAGAAGGCCATGCTTTTCTTTGACTGGAAGAGGTGGTCGGCAGTGGAAGTCACACACAAAAAGCAGCTGGAAAGAGTGGCATGAGAAAATAGCTATGGGCGCTTGCCCAATGTGAACTGTATATAAGAATTGATGAGCCTTTTCCGTGCTGCAGTCTGGAACTGTCTTTGTCTCTGTGTCCTTTCTCTTCCAGGACTGCAGCCATTTGTCTGTCTGTCTATGGTATGTCCATTGTATGTCATCCCCCATATCTGTAATCGGGCCCCGACAGCACCCAGAAAGCAACGGTGGATTGATTCAGAAATCATATTTTATATACTTGTGGAATTTCAACAGTACAAGACGTAAGCAAGGAGAAGAATGGTGCCTCCAGACATGCCAGGGACATCTCTC